GGGAAAGAGATGTGAGCCCAAAAACTTACATCATTTACAAGACAAGTGGAGCCCATGTCAGCTGGAAACAGCATTGCTCAACTTAGACTAAGAGGAGGGGTACTTAGAATAAGAATTAGCCCAGCTCATGGATACACAGTCAAATTTCTGAAACTGAAGCAAATGTTAGGAAAGCTCAGCTCTCAGATCATCTAGATGCAGTTATTCAAGAACAGCTATTTCCTAATACTCCCAGATGTAGAACAGGAGAGAAAAAAATGGAAGCAGTAATAAAAGACCAGAAAATTATAAGCAGATTTCCTTAAAATAAAAAACCCTAAGAAGCCAAACAAACACCCTCTAATTCCAACACTATTTTCCACTTGCAGAAACACCTGTATTTTGTATTTTTGGGAAAAAGGCTTATCTTTTGGGTGCTTCATTTTGGGGTGCCCTACTTGATATACATTAGACCATGAGTGGGCAAAATGGCAGACCCGGCCAGAGGCTGGACTCCAGTTCCCAGCAGCCCCTGCTTGCATGGCAGCTCCTAGCAGTGGTGACATCATGGTCTGGAACTGGGGCCCAGCTGCGATCTGCTGCCTGCACACCCCTGCCCAGGGCATGCAGGCCGCAGATCACAGCTCTGGACCACGATGCCACCACTGCAAGATCCCAGCCTGGCTCCGGAGCAGCTCCCCACTCTGCTGTATACCCTGCTAGCAGGGGTGGTACTGCAGGGGGCTACCACCACCCCAAAGTTCCCTGTAGCCCCCCATAGCCACCCCTTCCCGCCTGCACAGGCAGCGGTGGCTGAGCCCACCTTGCTCCTGCCTGCCCGTGGCACAGCCCCCCTTCAGCTCCTCTGCCAGGAAAAAACTGGTGTCACTGCTGCCTGCCAGTGCTGCTGGGGCTGGTCTCCATGGAAACCCCAGCCCCATGCTATCACAGCTTGGCTGCTGCTGGGGACTCCATGGAAACTGGCCCCAGGCATCCAGGCAGGGGAAATGGAGTCCACTGCCGGCCAGATCCAGCCTGTGGGCCGGATTTTGCCTGCCCCTGCATTAGACAGATAAGTGCTCAATGGTTTCTGAGAGATCATGTAGACACTAGAAGAATGAAGCAAAAATCACTACCACTAAAAAAATTGCATCTCAATCTTAAAACAAGCATAGATCTGGGTAAGAACAATTCTCTATACAAAAATAACATGAGCAGAAAACCAGCAGAAGGAGGATTTAGTAGACAATGCCTTCATCTCTAAAATAGAGGTGTGAATCCAGGCGGAGATCTTAAAGTGAAGAGAGTTTGACGGTCTCAGATCAATCCCCAATGAATGGACTCCACATAACCAAAAACCAGAATTGTCTCAGCACCAATGCTATCATCTGCTCATGCCCAGCAGCCAGAGTTAGTCACAGGGTGGCCGACTAAGATCATTTCCCTAGCCCAGTGATTCTCAACCAGGATGCTGGGGCACCCTACAATCCTTTGAAGGGTGCCACAGCAAGCACAAGGAGATAAGCAGATATAGGCAGGTTCAGATTCCAGGTGTGAGGAGACAAGCAGATAAGGGCAGGTTCAGGCTCCCCCTGCTTGGCCATGTCCTCACCCCCACTGTCTGACCCCTCTGCAAGGAGGCAGGCACTGTAGTAAATTATTTTTTGAATGGGGATGCTGCTCAATTCACAAAAGTTATGGAGGGTTGCCTTCAGTCTGATGGGATACAGTTTGAGTCTAAAAAGGTTGAGAACCACTGCTTTAGCCAATGCTTGAGTGGACAATAAGCCATCAGTGATATCTAAGGGCCAAGTGGCTAAGATACCAAATATAC